CAGGGGGGTTGGGCTAGATGACCCACAGAGGTCCCTTCCAACCCCTACCATTCTCTGATTCTGTGCCGTGCTCAGATGGACATCACCCTCCCCGTTTCACAGCCACTTCGCTTTGGCTGAACCGACATGAAAATGCCTTGATCTGGACCTCAAGAACCTCCACAACATCCTAGCAGCTCGCACAGTGGTGGGAACTGAATTCAGCCCCTCTCTGGCACCCACTTGTATAAAGCAAGTTCACATTTGCAAATTCAGCGGCATTCAGGTTCCAGAATTTACATGACATTACAGCAGTTTCTCTGTTATTGCACTGAAAACTATCGCCACCTCTAACAAGAAGCAAGGACAGACTCCAGCTGTCAGTTTCTCCTCTCCCACGTGCTACCTTAGCAGAAGCAGGTATTTTTATTGTTGGCGTCAGAAAGTGCCGGGCACCTGCAGTTGCTGCAGTCCATGCCCAGACCCTGCTGGGTCTCACTGGGCTGCCTAAGCCTTGCTTTAAAGCAAGGCACGTCTGGCACAGCTGAAGGGTTGGGAAGCTGGACCATTGCTCCAGTCTAACTGCAGGAGCTGCTGACCCCCCCTCCATTCTTCAGGCCTGCAAAGCCCTGGGCCAGTATCAGTCAGGCGGAGGATCTGGCGCTTTCATAACCAACAGCAGACTCCGACCTCTATGCCAGAAAGCAAAGAAATGAAGGAACCTTGGTGTGCGCACCTCAAAATACCCTGGGTTACAGGGTAGTAGGGAAAAAGAGGATAAAGTATATAAAAAATGTAACTCTGCAGTGCAGGGAACATACTGAGACCACCTGGCTAAACGCCAAACAACTGCTATTCTGAATGCACAGTGGGGCCCTGCACTCCCACGGCACCTGGGCACCATCTCCCAGTCCCACTGGGTGCTAAGAAGGTGACAGCACTGTGGGACAGATCTCTTGCTCCGCTGCCATTCCCAGACCCGACCCCAGTCTGGTGGGTACAAGGAGCATCCCTGCTCAGCCACCTCACTTGCCAGCATCACCTCCCGCCCTCCTGACTGCTGCCCCTGGGAAGGAGACGGCATCGAGCCACTCATAACTGAACCAGAACTACCTGTCCCTACAGGCACGCCAAGCTCTTCTGCTGCACTCTTCTTCCAGCCTGGTCTTGATGCCACACAGCTCAGTGCCGCAGTTAACCATGCCTGCTGCGCCTTTTTTTTTTTTTTAATTAAGTCTGCATGAGTTTCACACTCAGAATACAGAATATCAAATTCCAGGCAGAAAAGTCAGGCAAATAAAACAACCAATTTTTATTTCTGTGTGTGTGTGTGATGAAACTAAAACCAGCCTTCTGGAGGGAGCTGCGATTCAGGACACTGCCTCAGCTGGATGGCACGACTGAGAGGCACAGAGCTCATTCATTATCACAGTGACTATTGCAATAGTCCTCCTTTGAGGAAGTGCAGGTATTACATTAAAATTTGCCCTAACCTCAGGCGTTCCATGCCTTCTAACATACTTTTTCTGTTTAAAACCTGTCATGAGAAAGAAAATATGGCAAGATTAAATAGGAGGAGAGAATGGAGAAATAGCAGGACTTGCCAGAAGAGTATTATTATCAAAAGAAGAATGATGATGGAGCCAAATCCAAACAACTGGTAAGAATTGAGAGAGAAGACTGCAGGGACACAGGGAGCAGACCTTTAATCAAATGCTAAGTAATGGCAAAGAACACAAACAGTGGTTAAATCCAGTGTGATACTTCTCTAGAAAGGCTTATACAAGACGGTCACAATTAAGTCCAAACCATTTCTGTGTTTGGTGTAGAAAACAAAGGAAAGAGAAAAAAAGGCCTGAATTTGGGACACATTATGGTTCCAAATTCAGATTAGAGTATCAGTATGAGCCTGCGGATTATTAACAGATTCAAGCATGAGGAAAGCAAAGCCACCCCATGGGGGTTTTTTTTGTTATATAACTGCAAGCCTTCGCATAGTCCAGAATTTATTAACCGCTTTGCTGCTGAAGACTGGAAGGATGATGGTTAGCTCTTGTTGTTACAGGCTGGCAGGAGCAACAGCCCAGGAAAGGAAGGAAAAGGCTCCTGGCAGCCTCCTGGCAGCCAGCACCACTGGTATCTGATCTACAAGGAGCATGAACTGCTCTCATTTTCTTTTTTGCCCATGACTTGCTTGGGCTCAGGCTCAAGCACAGTATCAGAAGTCTGTAATTAATAAGGTGCCTGCCTAGGGTTTATATCTCAGGTTCTGAGTGATGTCTTGTTTTATCCTCCTATGTATTTTCTACAGAAAATGGCATTTTAAAAATTTATTTTATAAAAAAAAAAGCTAACAGATGAGGTGCAGGGTATTTTCATCCTGCATTTAGTTCCTAACATCTAGAAGAGCATCCCTGTCAGATTTCGGTTTCTAAAAATGGAATTGTGCCCAGTCCCACCAGAAAGGAATGCAGCACCTCTAGTTGCTAATGACTGCTGTGCTCCACAAGCCTAAGGAAAATCACTGACCATTTTCACTGAAGACAAAGGAAAACACCAGGATGGGATTAGAATATAATGAATCATTCTGTTTTCAAACAGAACCTAAAGGAAAGACATTACAGAAAAACCTCTGTCCATAATGAAATCGAGCAAGTTTGGGGTTAAATGATCTAATTTGGTGAATGCTGTAGGACTGGCCTCTTTCTAGGAGCAATCTTTTCCCTGCCTCTCAACACAGGCAACGGGGTAAGAGGACAGGCACAAGGAGCCCTGCAGCCTTGGAGTGCAGTGGCCCATTCAGCTGCCGACCAACCCTTCTGAGGTCCTAGATGTCCCCGGAGCACCTAGAGATTGTCCCTAAGGCAAAGCATTTCAGGTCTGGCAGTGCTCAAGACGCCCACCGAAGCCTCCCACCCACCAGATCCAGTGCCTTCACCTTGCACTACAGGGGCACAGAGGTTCTGCTCGTGCTTAGCCACCCGGCCCGCAGCAGCTGGTTCAACTTTCCCATAGTGGAAATGGGACCCACAGATCTGGGGTACGTGTTCTCACATGCAAAGACGTCATGTGTATCCTTCTGGTCACCTACAGACAGATGCACAGCGTGTGCTAGAGTAGGTCTCATGGACAAAATAAATGGGAGGACGTTCAAAGTATGAACTCAGTATAAACATTTTTTTATGCAGGTGCAGCTTCAGAAGAACCTGGACTTCAGATTTAGTCCCCTCAAAAGGTAGATTTAAGACTGAGGTCTCCTAGGGCTTCTAGCACCTTCAAAATTTTACTCCACCCCCACATAACACAAACAAATCACCCAGCCTTCTCCTGATTGACTGCTAAGACAACTTCATTAATCTCATTTACACACAGATGGGTAGGTGGAAACAGGGCTTCTCTTCATACACAGGTTAATGAACAGCTTCAGTGATAACTACAGTTTAAATCCTTGCAAGGACAGCAGTGTGACATCGCTGAAGACTCGATATTGGAGCTTTTTTGCTCTCTCATTTTAATAATATTTGGATTTCTTAACTGGTTTCAGGTTGCCACTGTCAGTAAAGGAGGCATGCTCTTCACT